CCTTTCTTAGTTGCTACGAATTGCCCATGACCGCTGTCGCTGACAATGAAACTTAAACGACGTGAAGGACATTAAGAATTTTCACATGACAATACAGATTTGTAAAATGAAGCCGCGGAGAGGTGGTTCTATCGTTGAACAGCAAAAATATTAAAAAGAAACATTTACAATGAGAAAGAGACCGTTAATATTTCTGTAAAACTTAATGAGGAAAGCGCGTCTAGAGAATTTAACACTCACAGGGCATATTAGCAGCAAGAGGGACAGAGGAAAGCATGTGGGTAGACAAGTAATCTACTTAGTGAGTATCTATGACGTTAAAATACATCTGACAAGGTCTCGGGTCGGGAGGTTTTGAGGAGCGTGGAACCACCTCTTAATTGCTCTTTTTCCCAGGTCCACATCGACCCGGTGGTGGATAGCAAATGTTAATGTCCCAGCTATGGGCAAATAGTGACTCCGCAAACTCGTGTCTAAACACTATGAAAACGTAGTGATAGAATTTTATAGTGAAGGTGCTAGAAATACATTTTCATAGTAAAAATATTACGAGTGATACATTTTTGTAAGGGAAAAAATACTCCCAGCAATACCTTTTTGTAAAAGAAATTATTAATGCCAATAAGAAAATTAAATTGTGGCATTAAACGGCCCATAAGGACATGATATGTTGTTAAAAAACAAAACAAACAAACTGAACAAAGACAAGGACAAACAGAAAAGATAAACTGTGAAAACTATTTAAGCAACAAAAGGATGAAGTTTGGGGCAGCCATAATCGCTTTCGTCCTGAAATGACTTGGCATAGTAAACATAAGAAGTTTTTTAAAGTGTATATAATTATGGTTTGTTTTATGAAGCAGATCAGCTCACCATCGGTAGTCAGTAATTGTTTCAATTGCCAATGAAACTAGTTTTGAACTATTAACTGGTTAAGACTCGTACTTCAGCTACTAATTATTGTAATTTAGCATAAAAAAAGTGTACACTATTTCTGCTGGGCTATATTGGACTCTACCGCCGTCTTCGATGTATGGCGATTTTCTAAGCGTATCTTAGATGCAGCACAAGGCCAGAAGTATGCGGCATCCAGTAAGGATCGAACTCATTTTTTTCGCTTGCTAACCATTACACTGAGGTTGCCCGTCTTCGGCGTACAACAACCCAGTTTTTAGAACCAAGCAACCAGGCTACTCGGACATATGATTTGATTATAGTAGTGAAGGTTTGTTAGATTTTATCAGTTAAAACGTTAATTTTAGTGGATACTCATATTTAAGTAGACGTTCCGTTAATTTTAAACAGTGTATTTATTTTCATTTACAGGCTTGAATATTCGAGGAATCTTATTAAAGAAAAACAACCGCCCTCTGGCAAGATTCGAACCTGCGCCCCCACACACCTTTGCAGGGGAAACCGTTGTTAGATCCGACTTGCTTTAGACTAGGGATTCTCAATGTGGATATTTAGGCCCAAAAGTGGGCCTGGAGGCACAAGAAGCACTACAGTCATTAGTCAGGGTTTATATTTTCCACTATATTTTGCTTTTGTAAGTAAAATGTATTTCTTTTTACATGGAATTTCTGTTTGTGCTTATGTGGACGTGAAATATTTTAACATCAAAAATGAGTCACAAGAGAGAAAAGGTTGAGAAAACACTGCTTTAGAACGGCTCGGCCATGAAGGGTTACGCCGATCAAGCAAGGCCGAATAGTGTGTTAAATCGCAAATCCCCTAAGGTCACAGATTCTGGAAAGTTAATATCTGCTTCGTTTCATATCCAAAGGTAAACAAAGCAATGTCTAAAGAAGTAATGGATTCTTTTATTTATTAACCCGACAGATTTTTTTTTCGCGAATATTCATGACCATATACGAAAATAAATATACTGTTTAAAATAAACGGAGCATCTATTCAAATATGGGTTTCCACTAAAAAAATAACGTTTAAAGTAATAAAAAGGAAAATGTCATTAGAAACAACTTAAAAGTACATTGTCAGTGTTGTTTAACAAAATATTATATATAGATATGGTAATAGAAGCTAATTAACAGAGAATTCATTCACTCATCGTATCAATGACAGTTTTTTCCTATCGAGTCAACAGTTTTACACTTCAAAAGGAAGGATTATAAGTCTTCGATTCATACCTTTTCAAGGGTATTACGTGATAATACCCTTAGGAAATGTATGAATCCTCATCTTCTCGAGCGATGGGTAAATAGCAGGACAGACCGGGTTCTATAGCCTTAGTTAGCAACTGGTCTACCGCAGAAAGAAATGGCAACCTACTGCGGGAAAAAATCTGCCTCATCAGTCATTTATCGAAAGATACATGATCGCCTAAGTATGTATCATGCATGACACATAACTGACGTTACCATGTCCAAACTGCCCGCAGCACAACACTGCTGCTAATGGGACCATTATTACTTAATTCTACGATTGACAGCGGTTAGCTGAAACCGTGGATACAGTGTCAACAGTATTATTAAAAAAGGAACTTTTTTTTTTTTCTTTCAAAGCTCTTCAAAATGCCTTCCAGCCACGTTGACTAATATTTATGAAATCCGCAAGGACCCTTCAGCGTAAATGCCCAAAATACAACGAAGAAAATTAAACCTGCGAGCATTTAAAATGAAAATAGGTGTTTTGAGCAACTATCAACAGTGCTCTTAAATTTAACAAGCAAACCGATGAATGTGTTTAAAACGCAGCAGGTGCCCGAGTCAGTAGATTTTGTCTCTGACTTGTCTGAATGGGGGCAATAGACGAGTGCACTCAGTGACATTCGAAAGAGATTTAAGCAAGGTGTCAACAAGAGAGTAAGCAGAGTATAAACAGTGTCTTGGTCACTTAATGGCTTTCACATCTTTATGGACACACACAAGAACCTAATGCTTCAAGAAAGAAAGAATACAAAAGGAAGAAAAAGATTATTATGAAAGTTAGACACAAAGCAAGTTGAGTGACTCCGTTGGATTTTACCGGACACCAAAGGTGAATTCAGTTACAAGGCTGCAAGGAATAAATATCTTCGCTGTATGTGTGCGTGAACGCAGACACCTCTCTCTCTCTCTCTCTCTTTCAAAAGAGGAGAAGGAAAGGCAGAGCGGAGAAAGAAAGCGGGTAACAAAAAAAAGGGGGAAGTGAGAGGTGAGGAAAAGAAAGAGAGAAAAGATGTAAGAGGGTGAATGGGCGAAAGAGAGTAAGGAAGAAAATGAGTGAGTAAGTGGGAGTGAGAGAGATGTCGATTTTGATAAAGATTCTACGAGGGTTGATTTCAGTGTAATGTCTCCTACTGCGTGGCGTCGCTAACGGTGGAAGCAAGAATATACGTGGACATGTATTCCGTAAAGTCAAGTTCGAATAGTGCAACGGTTATCGGCGCTCTGAATTCAGTTTCCAACCGAGCCTATTCCGATCACTTAGCACGAATACCTCTGGAAAAAGGCAGAAGATCATCTTGCTTCAATTCTCAGTCGTGGATGAAAGCAGAGAAGACTGGTCTCTTTAGCATTAGTAGGGCAACTGGATTATAAAAAAAATAAGAACTCCTAATTCAAAACCAATTTGAATAGGGATGGACTCTTTTAAGCTATCTTACCCCAGACACACAGACTGGAACTACACCGTCAGAACATGCAGTGTCCTTTCTACGAATCAAATCAGGTACTAAACTCCTGGTCGTCATGTTCAAACGTACTTAGTGCCGATTCGCTATGAGCCAGCGTTCGTGTAAAAAGCGTTCGGTAGTCACGATTACTAGGTCCAAGTTTTGTAGAAAGTAGATATCGATAATAGAATTTTTGGCACCAGTCGAAATTCACAGATGAATGAAAAGAAATGAAGGCATGCTAGGAATTAAACAAAGCATAATAAGGCATGGTTTGGTTTGGTTTATTTTACAGCATATCAACCTCAATGAGTTATTTAATGCAGACAGAAATTTTATTGCTGGTAATATTTTTTTCCCAAAAATGTATTGCTGGTAATATTTTTTTTCCCAAAAATGTATTGCTGGTAATATTTTTTTTCCCAAAAATGTATTGCTGGTAATATTTTTTTTCCTTCAAAAATCTATTTCTGGTAATATTTTTCCCTTCAAAAAATCCATTTCTGGTAATATTTTTTTTCTTCAAAAAATCCATTTCTGGTAATATTTTTTCCTTCAAAAAATCCATTTCTGGTAATAGTTTTTCCTTCAAAACATCTATTTCTGGTAATAGTTTTTCCTTCAAAAAATCCATTTCTGGTAATAGTTTTTTTCTTCAAAAAATCCATTTCTGGTAATATTTTTCCCTTCAAAAAATCCATTTCTGCTAATATTTTTTCCTTCAAAAAATCCATTTCTGCTAATATTTTTTCCTTCAAAAAATCCATTTCTGCTAATATTTTTTTTCTTCAAAAAATCCATTTCTGGTAATATTTTTTTCTTCAAAAAATCTATTTCTGGTAATATTTTTTTCCTTCAAAAAATCTATTTCTGGTAATACTTTTTCTTCAAAATGTATTGCTGGTAGTAATTTATTTTTCAAAACTGTATTGCTGGTAATAATTTTTTACAAAGTATTTCTGGTATGAAAACCTATTTTTATACTTTCATAGCGTTTTAACCCCCATCTGGGAGTTAACTATTTGCCCATAGATGGGACCCTAACAGGTGCTACCACCCCGGGTCAGAGCAGATCTGAGAACACCAGCAATTAAGAGGTGGTTCCACGTTCCTCAAAACCTCCTAATCAGAGGCCTTGCCGTTGGACGTAGTTTATCGTCATACCTAGGACGGAATAAGGCATGAAAAGAACTTATCTTTTTGCATCACGACAAGGAAAGGTGACAAGGTCACCAACAAACGCCCGAAAGGATGAAAAGCGCAGAATACAAATTCGTTGTATACTTTCTCTGTAGAGCGTGGATTCGGAATGTTGGAAGGTCACTACATGTCATCTGATGTCAAAGTTCAAATGTCTATGCGCAATTTTCAACAAGAATATACTAGAAAATTCCGGTTCCCGTACGATCACCGAAGTTAAGCAACGTCGGGCCTACTCAGTATCTGGAGGGGTGACCGCTTGGGAATACCAGATGCTGTAAGTTCGGATGTGCAGGTGGTGTAATATGTAATGGCTCAGAATTGCTAATCGGAGAGCCGAGTTCCAATTCCAGTTTGGTCCGTTATTTATACGCGCAAATAACCTTTGGAAAGGTATGAATCGACCTTTTCTCCCTCCAGCTATGGGTTAAGTAGTAAAACTTGTATCTCTAAAGGATTATTATTTCCCAAAATAAAATAGAATTGTGTACAAAAGATTTAGATTTTGGCACTAAATAACCTGCAAATGTATGCCGATAATCAAAAACGACTAAAAGAATCTTCCTTCATGAACAGAAAGAGTAAATCGATGAAAAGTTTGGGAAATTTTAACACGAATTTCATTTTAATACCAATTTCTAGATAGTCAAAAACTTGAGCAAACATGAATAAACTTGCCCGCAATAAGACGAAATACCAAAAGGACAGTTTTGTTTTCACATGACACCGATTTTTTTAACTACCTTCACTCCTCGGCATTGTTTAGTTCTAAAAAGCGGTGATTAGAATTGTATTAAAAAAAAACTAAACGTATGAAACTGAAGTTATACACTTTTTTCGGCTAAGTTATCTTCAAAAATTCAAAACTGAACGTTCCTGTATCTTTAACGTTTTCGATATAAAACTATAACCAGAGTTTATTGCACTTCTTCTCCTCTCTATATAGATAAGATTCACTTTCTGAATAAGAGCATTATTAACCTGAAGAAGCTCGTTCCAGGGATGAAACGTGTTACTTAGGAGGATTTAGCTTTTATTTTATTTTTTTTTTTACTTTGTCGTTCGTTTAAAACCACTAATCGTCTGATATATAAATTTGTATAGTATATCTTCCATAATAATAAAAAAAACTTAAAAAAAAAAAAACTTCAATTAACTTTCAGGTAATGACCGCAACCGTTATGCTAATGTGAACAAACTAAGTGAACACACCCTGCACATTGGAAAGCCTAAATGGCAAAACAGCAGGGAAGATGCTTGTCAAGGCCTACAAAGTACATGAACAACAAAACATCCTCAACACGTGTGAGAATGTGCAATTCCAACTAATTTCTCCTTATTTTTCTTAATTTGAATTATTATGTAGAAATAGTTCCACATTAGCTAGAAATGTGAAATTCAGCAATATTAACATAAAATGCAACAATCATTTGAAACGAGAATTTTTGTCTGGTTGATTTTGATTAGCGGCATATCAACATCTCTATGGGTTATTTAATGACGAAATCTAAATTTCTTGAACATAATTTTATGGCTTCATCTATAGATAAATTTTATTGTTGGTCGTTTTGCTATAAATTTGTATTGTTGGTAATTCTATAAATATGCATTATTGGCATTTTTTATTTATAAAAATATATTGCTGGTATTTTTATTATAAAAATTTATTTTTATACTTTCATAGTGTTTGAGGGTGACTATTTGCCCATAGCTGGGATCCTAACAGATGCTACCACCCTAGGTCAGGGTGAACCTGGGAACAACAGTATTTACGAAGAGGTTCCACGCTGCTCAGAAGCTTCCGATCAGAGGCCGAGCTGCCAGATGTAGTTTATCATCATACCCAGGACTTGAGAGTTTTGTGTCGTAAAACCGTGTAAATCTCTTGTAAGGCTTATAAAGTCATTGTATATCCCGTAATTCATCGGATACTTGAAGCGTTTCCAATGATTTTATTTAATTAATTGCTTTTATTCTCTAACATATTAACTCATGTTTATCTTTATTGGTTAATTTGTTTTTTATGGCTTATCAACCTTTTGCAGGTAATTTAAAGCTAACATTTTTTTTTTAGATTGTAAGATTTTTATGTGATATACTGAATTGCTAATACAAGTCTTTTAATTAACTCGTAACTAGAAGAGGGAAGATTCATACCATGTCCAAGGGTATTTGCGCGTAACGAAACCAATTATGAGCCACTATCCAGTACATCAGCCAAGCTTACGGCATCTGATATTTCCAAGCAGTCACCCATCTAGTTGCTGCCCAGGATCGATGTCGCTTAACTTCAGTGATCGTACGAAGATTGGAGTTTCAACGTGATATGACTATATTGAACTTTAATTTTTGTAGTATAATATTTCGATTTGTGTATAGTACATTATTTTGTATATAGTTTTAAACAAATATGTATTTCGATGACACATACGTACAATTTAAATTACTGCAATGTAAATTGGCAAAATAATAAAATTGTTATATATATATATATATATATATATATATATATATATATATATATATATATATGTGTGTGTGTGTGTGTATTTGGCTAGTAGAGCTCCTGAGTTGTGGTTATGGCAATCCATCTAAAGAACAAAAGACCTGCTGCCTTGTAGGTCATTCTTGGCTAGAAAATGAGTAGAAGCAGGCAAATCTGATATAACTGATTCTAGTATTGTTAAACCATATATCTTGCTTCGGCCTGTCACTGGATTATGGAAGCTCTCTGCAATAGTTGTGCAAATTACATGAGACGTACATTTTGCACGGGCATTTCTGACATAGGCAAAAATAATGAGTGTTAAAAATAGTCATACTCGATTAACGAAGAGACAACATACACACACACTATATATATATATATATATATATCAAAGGGCTATAAAAAAAAGCATCTATCTACACACAATCTGACAACATTCGACAGCAAGGCTCGGATTGGAGTTTTTGTTAATTGTTGTTGTCCCCTGGTCCACACTGAGCATGGGTAGTAGCACCTGTTAGAGTCCCAGCTCTGGACAAATAGCGAGCCCCCCAACTAAACAAAAACACTATAAAAAATAAATTTTAATAATAAAAATACCAGAAATACATTTCTATATAAAAAAGACTGATAGTACATAACTAGCAATACATTTTATCTGTAGTTGAAAGTTTACAATTGCGTTCAAAATGTATTTCGCTGAAGTCATAAAATTGTGTTAAAATTATTTAGATTTCGGCATTAAATAACCCATAGAGGCTATGCCGCTAAAAATATCACTGACTACCCACAATTTACAAGGATCCCTAAGAAAAATTCTGGCCGAAAACACACAAATTCTATATAAATCATATCACCGAAAATATCTCGCCATAAGGCATGCCCTGTATATTAAACCTCTCTCTACCATCAACCTCACCTTATTTAACAGTGGGAATGGTATGTTGAAAGGTTTTAAAAAATAGAAAAACCCTTATTCGAATTTCAGGTACGATCAACACGCGAAAACTCGCAATAAACGTTCCTACTCGTAGTCAAACCAACACAAAAATACATCAAAACATGAAGTGAAATTAACAACACCTAAACAAAACTTCACTGAAAATAGCTGAAGAATTGGTCGAAAGCGCTTGGGAAAATGGACAATGTTTGCGCTCCTTTATTCCCACCAAACGGAAAAATGTAAGGTCAATAAATAAAAATAAAAAAAGGGAAAAGCAGAAAAAGCTACGGCATTTTACAAATGCGCACATATGCACTTGTACTGGCGTGCGCGCGCGCGCACACAATGAAGAAAAATCAACCTAACACCAATGTGTGTAATTTATTTTTTTAACTTGATATTAAAATAACGAAAATGAGAAAATCGGCAGTAAAATTGCAGATACCTCCTGACGAGTGGATCAAATGATTACAAATAGTGTTCGTCGGGGCGCTGAATATAAAATCAATCAGCTAAGTGCAAAAGGATGCTGAACATTTCTTCACAAAAAACGAATAAAAAAATTTTAAAAATATCTTTAAAAAAAAAAGTTTAAAAAAAATCCCGTGATGTTTGGTCATTTGGTCAGGTTTTTGGATAGGTTAATGCCGAGATCATTTCACTACCCCGCCTCATATACAACATGTATGTAATGACTAAATTGATCAAGTCAATATAAGATGACTATTAATACGTCGACCATCTGACGATTCCCCATTACGTAAGAGAACAAGAAAAACAGGAAAGTGTTGACACATGAGAGGCAGTTTGGGCCACCCACTGGTAACCAGATACCCTAATGTGTCCCCTGTCTGAGACAGGATGTGGTTCTAGTCACAGATGCCAAGCATCCAACCAGACATTTGCAGTATTTACGAAATGCCAACAAGGCTTTTCTGTTGAAAATTGGCATGAAGCACAGCAGAATGTTTCAGCTTATATTTATTATTAAGCAAAGAGGATAAAGGAATCAACAATCGTGTGTATATTTAGAATTTATCATGCCAGAAACTTTTTATATGTGGCCTATTAACTGTTACAGCCGGATATCCTTCCTGATGTCAAACTATATGTTGATCTACATAAAAATAGTGTTTATGAACTTATTTTTTCAGGATACAGTTGTGATGAGAAAGAATGTATAGCTAGAATTTTATTGGAATTATGACGGTACACGATAAAAATCTATGTATACTAGTGAAAATTAAACGGTTTTCCTGTTTGAACTTTCTGATGAAACTTAATTCTCATTAAACACATGTCGAGTTCTACGACAATAAAATATCCTGACAAGTATCCAGGCTATCGAGTTCCACCTACCCGATGTCGGGTGTAAGTTTATCGTCATACCCAGAACCACCAGGACCCCAGTTTGGGGTGGTTAACTATTTGCCCATAGCTGGAACCCTAGGAGGTACTACCGCCCTGGGGCAGGCTGGACCTGTGAACAACAGCAATTAAGAGGTGGTTCCACTCAAATTTAGTTTCTTCCAATATCCCCTCTTCAAATAAAATTTATTTACTGATATAAGCATCCAAAAAGAATATACAAGGGGGATAACTTTTCGCTACTATCGTCATCATCATAATAAAATGTTTTGTATTAACCATTAATTAGAAATACCCGTGAAAATGTAACGGCCTTCCTATTTGAATTTTCTGATGAATCTTAATTCTTAAGTTAATGATTGAATAAGCTCAGAACGAGTTCTACGACAATAAAATATCCGTAGAAATTCTGGTCGTTAGTTTAAGAAGTAAGGGGGTACAACAATATATTTGAAATTGACAACTTTTCCGATTTTACTGAA